AAGGCTTTTGTAACTCTGGGCAAGTTATTTCTCCAAGACTCAGTTTCCTTATCTGTAAGATGGGTGCAGGAAGAATACTAGTCCAATAGAGTGTTATAAGGATTAAATGACATAATGTTTCCAAATCACAGTACAGTGCCTGGCACATGGTTGTGTCAGCTGTTAATTATAGCACTTATTTATTTTTGCTATTAAGGATTTTTTCCTATTTCTTAGTCATTTTTAGAATAGGAAATATTGCCAGATAAGTTGAATTCAGCCTAGATCAGATGTTACCCAAATGATTGCTGTGTAAATTAGTGGAAATCTATCATCTCTGGCATCCAAGAAAAATGCTTTCACTGGGGTGACTGTGGTATTTGTGGTTGAAACAGTTGGAGTTGAGATTTCTTCACCCACATTTTTTGTGGCAGAGTAAGTATATTCTCAGTGTAAGAACAGTGTGTGTAGAATACCACCATTGTGAAAAATAGGGAAAAAGAAGGCTACTGTTTATGTAAAAAGAATACATATTCATTCATATAAGTTTGTGGATTATATTTGGAAAGATGCCTGAAGACTACTAACTGGTTGTCTTAGGGAAAAGAACAGGGTGGCTGGGGGATGTGGGTAGGAAGGAGACTTGGTGTTTATTGCCACATGCAAGTATTACCTATTTAAAACAGATAATAAAGAGAAAGGAATAGACTGAATGTGTGGGCCGCAAGGTCAGGTGGCCTAAGCATTGACCTTTGGCTGCCTGGCCTGGACATTCTAGGCAGCTGACTATCTAAGATGTGGGCTCTGCCTTCTACAGTGCTTTTTCCTTGAAGAAGAAAACATAGAAGTTCTGCACACCAGGACTACTTTCTGTCCTTAACTACCTAGAGAATTTGATTCACAAGCTCAGGGTGAAAACTAGTTGAGCTTTTAGTTAGCCGAGTATGGCACTGGTGAGTGGGCAGCCCTGTGGGTTAGAATCGTATTTTCCCATGGAACTCACGGGAATCTTCATTGTACTCCCTGTTGATGAGAAGACTGATTCTTTGTTTTGATTTTATAACTTGAGTTATGTGTGATTTATTTGAAAGTGTTTTGCATCAAATAAATGTCTATTGAACTAATTAGGTACAATGTTTTAGGAGTAATTAGAATTTGTTCTTTCATTTAGCAGGCTTGAATCCGTATTTTCTAAACTGTTAGTATCAGCAATAATAGGTACAGTTTATAGCAAATTTTGCTGGTTGCGTAACAAACTTTGCTGGTTACATACCTCTTTTTTTAAAAAAAAGATACTATTTATTTTTAGAGAGAGGGGAAGGGAGGGAGAAAGAGAGGGAGAGCAACATTGATCAGCTGCCTGTTGTATGCCTGCAGCCCAGGCATGTGCCCTGACCAGGAATTGAACCTGCAACTTTTCCGCTTGTGGGACAACACCCAACCAACTCAGCCACGCTGGTCTGGTCAAGGCCGGTTGTGCATCTCTTGAAAGGCACGCGCATGTTTTAGTTTATACTTCTGGATCAGACTGTTCCGAATACCATAGTTCAAGTAATGTAAATATTCACTAAGTCATTTTCAGCTGTAGTAACGTTAGTGTTTGATTACAGGGTTGAGGCTGGGAAGAAAGAGTTAACTTCTCAGAGACTCATCTGCTCTCAGTGCCAAGGTGCTAATGTTATTTATTATACCCCTCCTTCGGTGGCTCTCCATTGTCTATTGAATGAAGTCCAGACTTCTTTAGCATAGCGTTTCAAAGCCTTTTATGACCTCGCTAGCATATTTTTCTGTTTCCTAACCCTGCCCTCCCATAAACTCATTGTTCCTTTACGTGTGTTGAGCTCTTCCTTTGCCCTGCTTATAATGTTCCGTCTGCTGGAAATTCTCTTTATTTTTTGTCTCTACCTGTCCCACTTCAGCTCATCTTTCCACGCCCCAGGTATAATGTTTCATTTTCCACGAAACTTTCTGTGTTCCTGCTCAGCCAAAAGTAATCCTCTCAAACCCCTTTGCACTTTGTACTTCTCTTGGGTTACTTACCGTATTCTCTTGTGGGGCTAATTGTGTATGTGGCAGATTTGGTCTCCCCTGGGAGATTAACTGCACCTTGGAAGCTGGGCCCTTTTTAGCCATCACTCAGTTATTCCCCACAGCCTCCAACCATTAATATTCACTCGCACATTAGGAGCTCAACTTATGTTCATTGGCATCTTGAAAGTCTCTTCAATTTATCTTTATCTTTTCAACCCAGATAACCCTTCGAGCCTGCTGTTATCTGTAAGGGCTATAGAACAAATAGCTCCAAAACAAAAAACACTTTGCCCCATGTTGATATAGTTAGTAAGTTTATGGCCTGAGAAAATCTGTGCCTTTTAAACCTCAGAGGGCAGGTGTATTAACAAACTACAGAGTTTTCAAATAAATGAAGAATTCCATTACCTCACTATTGCTGTTGATGAATTGGCCTCTGACGACACTTAAGCATCATAACACACAGCTCTTTTTAGGTGAGAGGCTGACATGAGTAGTTTGATTAACTTTATGAAAAGTCTTATGAAAAGAACTGTTGAACTTTCCCCAGTTTGTTTCTGCTTGGAATATGCCCTATATCATAAAAAGTGACCCAAATCTTTTTCCATGACCTGTTCTTTATTGTCACAAAGTGTTATTTCTGAGGCACAAACTAGGTTCAGAGGCTACAAATTTAGAATCACAGAATCAGCAAATCCCAAGGTCGGAAGGGACATTAGAGATTGGGTTGTCAGGTAGCTGAGTTCCCACCACACATTTATTTGCCCTTCAGAAATAGGCCATTCTCTGCTTTTTGAGGTTATCCATTCCATCATTTGGATATTTTAAAACTTTTGGTAGAAAGTTTTGCTTTCAAAATTCAATGCTGAGTGATTCTCTTTCTGTGTCCCTCACATTGGTTCTGAGTCTAACTCTTGGACAGTGTAATCACTTTGCTACAACATTTAAGGCAACACTCCTGTTTTTCTCCAGGTTAAATATCTTTGATCTTTTGTCTCTTCCTTTTGTCTCTTAAATATACAATGTTCAAACTATAGACAGAATTTTAGTCTGTTCTGTGCTGAGTTCCTACTTTATCTCACTTAAATCTCACTTTATACACTGAAGATAAACTGTGTCTCTGTTACTGTAGCCAAAATCACATTAATTTGGGGACAACCTCACCTCTCTTGCCTCCCTTCGAACATATACTATGTATTAGTTAAGCCTGTAAAATGTTTTCATACATAGGTAGGTATGACTCACCTATCCTGTACCTCTACAGTTGTTCTCTTAGCCCCAAGGGCAGGACCTTAGACTTACTCTTGTTCAAATTCATTCTCTCAGACTCAGCCTGTTAAAACAGCCTGTTGAAGTATTTTTGGTTCATGGTTGGGTCATCCAGCATATCTGTCTTCTTGCCCAGCTTCTTGTCATCTGCAAATTTGATAAGTGTGTTTTCTTTTCTCCATCTGAGTTACTAAAAGAGATGTTGAGGCAGGTCAAGCTGGAATCATTCCATTGTACCATGGTATTGCTAATAGATGTTAATGGGCAGGATTAATTCTTGGAGATCGAATTGTCAATGTTGTCTGAATATTCCACAGTAATCACAGGAATTGTCTTTAGGTAAGTAATCCTGATGTCACTGCTTAGTAACTATTTGATAAGAGATAATAAAAATTTAAATGTGGTCATAAGAATGAGATTAGGAACTAGCTTGGAAAGTTGATGACCCTGTTTATATTCTTATATATTATTACATATACTATTGTATTTATTAATAAAATGAAATTCTTTATTTTTATGTAAGGTCTTAAGCAGAGAGAGCCCTCTGGACTGATTAAAGGCAAGGTGGTATAGGGGAAAGAGTCCTAAACTTTGTCCTGAGTTTAGTCATTTATTTATTTAGCAAATATATATCAAGTGTCTATTATACTTAAGCCCTGGAAATACAATGATAATAAAAAACCAGCCTTGATATTTGCCTTCAGTGGAGCCACATTCTAAGGGAGGAAATAATTTGATAATGACACAGATGAAAGCATAATACTTTCTGTGATGTATATTCTGGACAAGTGCAAGTCACATATTTAATATAAAAGTTTCTACTAGCCCCCTTAAAAAAGTAAAAAGAAAAAAATGAACTTTATTTTAATAATGGGTTTTATTTAATGTAATATATCTGAAATAACATTTCAACATACAAGCAGTGTAAAATTTTTGAGATATTTATATACTTTTTCTTGAATTAAGTTTTGAAGTCTTAAACTTACACCCATCTCAACTTGAGCCCTTTGTAAAGGGCTCACGTGGCCACGTGTAGCCTGTGGCTTCCATACTGGACAGCACAGCACTGTCCCCGCCTGTACAGACTGCTCTGTGGCTGGGCAGACTGCCTGCCCTCTGCAGGACTCCATCTTCCTCAGTAGAAGGAAGGTTTCAGACTGACTTCTCTTCTACAGGTAGCTCCTTCCATGTGTGAGGGAGCCTTCGGAGCTTTCTGAGTAGTGCGTGTCTTGGTCTGGGTGATGCTCACGTGGGTGTGAATAATATGAACACTTACAATTTATATACTTTATGGTATCTCTGTTACGCCTCAGTAAAAGTCTTTTTTTTAAGATTTATTTTTAATAGGATATTTATTATAAGGTTTTATTTATTTTTAGAGAGAGGGGAGGGGAGAGAGAAAGAGAGGGAGAGAAGCATCAGTGTGAGAGAGAAACATCGATCAGTTGCTTCTCGCACACACCTTGCCCGGGGACTGAATGCATCACCAAGGCATGTGCCCTGACCGGGAGTTGAACCGGCAACCTTTCACTTTGCGGGATGATGCCCAACCAACTGAGCCACATGGGTCAGGGCACCTCAGCAACAGTTTTTAAAAATCACTTCTAACGTTTTTATTCTGTGCTCTGCTGAAATCACTCAGATGAGCTGACCTTCAGTGGAAACGTATGATGGGAAAAGTGCAAACAACCAGTGACTCTTTATGTCTTCTTCCCACCCAGGATGTGCCTTGTGCGAATGAAGCAGGAAGGCCGGACGGGGAAATACATGTGTCGTATCATAGTTCATTTTATGTGGGAGGACGTCGAGCAGCGCTGCAGAGTCATGGGGGTGAGTGAGTGCTGTCGGGTGTGGTCCTGGAAGCCCCAGCGAGAGGTTGAGTTGAAGTTTGATGTAGTCTAGAATGGCCTTGCTTTTATTTTATTTTCCAATTATAGTTTACATTTAATATTATTTTGTATTAGTTTCAGATGTACAGCATAGTGGTAGATAATTATACACTTTATAAAGTGGTCCCCCTGAAATTTCAAGTACCCACCTGGCAACATACGTATGAGGGAGGACGCCAAAAAACCTGAGTTACTTTCTGAAGGGTGGGTGCCTTGTAGTATAGGCTTCCCCTACTAGGTGAGTATTCTGGGAACCCATCTGTATCAGTGTACCAGCTGGTGGTGTTGCAAGAGTCTGTGTTTGGCTTTAGTGAATTTTTTGAAGACTCTTTCAGTGCATTTGCCCATTTCATGATGGGTGATTTAGGAGTGCACCTGCCCACATCATGCTAAGTGTTCAGCAGTTTTTGACCAAAAACAGCATGATCCCTGTGCCCCACCCTCCATATTCATCTAATCTCACCCTGAGCAACTTTATTTTGTTTCCCTGAATGAAAAAAGTCTTTAAAGGGAAACGTTTTGCTGATATGGAAAAGGTGAAACAAAAAACATCAGAAGCACAAAAAGGCACCAAAATCAATTAATTAAAAAACTGTTTTGAGCAGTGGAAAAACATCTCAATAGGTGTATTGCATCAAATGGAGAATATTTTGAAGGTGACTGAAGTTTAAACATGTAAGAATAAATGCACAGTTTTTCATAGATAAATTTTATTTTTTTGGTCCCTCATAGTTATAACAGTATCATTGACTGTATTCCCTATGCTGTACTTGACATATTTGTGATTATTTTGTAACTGCCAATTTCTTAATTCCACCTTTTTCGCCCATCCCCTCAACTCCCTTTCCCTCTGGTAATTATTATTCCTGTTCTCTTTATCTTTGTTTCTCTTTTGTTTATTTATTTTGTTCTTTGGATTCTACATATAAATGAAATCGCATGGTATTTGTCTTTCTCTGTCTGACTTATTTCATTCATCATAATACTAAGTCCGCTCATATTGTTGTGAATGGTAAGATTTCATTTTTTTTATGGCTGAAAAATATTCCTTTGCATATATTTACAATGTTTTTATCCATTGGTCTATTTTGGGGCACTTGGGTTACTTCCATATCTTTGCTATTGTAAGTAATGCTGCAATGAACAGTACAGATAATGCTACAGTGAATTAGTGTTTTAAGTTTCCTTGGATATATACCCAGAAATGGGATTGCTGGGTCATACGGCAGTTCCATTTAAAAATTTTCAAGGAACCTCTGTACTGTTTTCCACGGTGGATGCACCAGTCTGTGTTCCTACCAACAGTGCACTTTTTGGTATATTGGTTCCTACCAACAGTTCACTTTTCCCCACATCCTCACCAACATTTCATTGTTTATTGATTTGTTCATGATAGCCATCCTGACAGGAATGAGGTACTATGTCATCGTGGTTTTAATTTGCATGGATTAATCGGATTAATTACCGAGCAGAGCTCTCTCCGTAGATTGAGAGGTAAACAAAGTGTATAGATGTATGATACAAAGTGTATGGATATATTATAAGTCATACATGTTTATAGAATAACATGATTAGTGACGTTGAGCATCTTTTGATACAGCTATTGGCCATCTGTATGTCTTTGGAGAAGCGTCTCTTTAGGTCCTCTTCCCATTTTTAAATTGGATTGATTGTTTTTTGGTGTTGAGTTGTATGAGTTCTTTCTTAGTTTTGGATATTAATCCCTTTTTGAATGTATCATTGGTGAATATCATCTATTCAGTGGGTTGTCTTTTTGTTTTGTTGATGGTTTCCTTTGCTGTGCAAAAACTTTTTAGCTTGATGTAGTTCCATTTTGTTTATTTTTTTTCTCTTGCCCAAGGAAATATGTCAGCAAAAATATTGCTACAAGAAATGTCAGAGATATTACTGCCTAAGTTTTCTTCTAGGAGTTTTATGGTTTCAATTCTTACATTTAAATCTTTAATCCATTTTGAGTTTATAGAATGGCCTTGCTTTTAGATAGAGATGAAATGCAACTGATGCAAATAGTAACTCAGCTAGAGTCACTTCTGCGTCTGTGGAGACTGACATGCCACAGACACTTTATTTGTTTGCACGTATTATTGAGGTTTGTCGGTGTGAGGACATCCTGTGTACGGAGATGGGATTATTAAACCCAAGTCATGGTGGTAGGAGGGATGGATTTGGTGAACGAATGGAGGAAATCAAATAATAACCCAGTTTAAGGACACTGTGCTTTGACACTGATTTCAGGGTTTGAACCAGATCTCCTCTAATTTAGTTTGGATGAAAAGACCTTGGTAAGGGGCCTGCACTGTCCTCAGGAACTGAAGAATAAGCTCCTTGATCACTAGAATCCTTTGGCAAGTTATCTACTGAAAAGGCACATTAGTGCATTTAATATTAAGCTGAGAAAGGAGAATATATAGTATTTATATAACATAGAATGACAACAATGGAAAAACGAAACCAAAGCATTAGAATACGGTTGGTTATATAAATATACTCTCTTCCTTTGTGTATTTTGTGTATTTCTTGTGTCTAGAGCATGTTTTAGTAGATTGTAGTTCTTTGTTTTTTCTCATTTTGTTGCCTCGCAGCTTTGAAGCATCTAAAGTAAAGCAGAATCATCATACAGGGTCACAAAATGGGTTAATTTGTTTTCTTATTATAGAGCAAAGCTCTCCCTATAGATTGAGAAGTAAACAAAATTTATGGAGGTATTATAAAAGCCATAAATAGAATAAAAGTCAAACAGTAAAAAGCATTTAATATAAAAAAATAAGTGTCTTTTCCCTAGTCCAACTTCCCAGAAATAATAACTGTTAACAATTGATGAGTATCTCTCTAGCTGTTTTCTATACAAATATAAATGTATAACTGGATATTCTTTTCATATAACATAAATGGAGTATATACATACTGTTTTGCATCTTGGCTTTTTTTTACTTAATATATACTAGATATGTTTTTACTTTACAATTGTTTTCAAAACTCAAAATATTTTTGTTATATTTTATTGAGTATGCTGTTAACAGTTGTACCAATTTTCTCCCTTTCCCCTCTCCATCCAGCACCCCCTGCTCCCTCAGGCAGTCCCCACACCATTGTTCATGTCTATAGGTCATGCGTATAGATTCTTTGGCTACTCCATTTCCAATACTTTACATCTCCATGGCTATTCTGTAACTACCTATTTATACTTCTTGATCCCCTCACCTCTTCACCCATCCCCCATACCCCACTCCTGTTTGGAAGCCATCAATATGCTCTCTGTGTCCATGATTGTGTCTCTGTTCTTGTTCGCTCAGTTTGTTTTTTTAGATTCAATTGTTCATAGATATGTATTTATTGCCATTTTATTGCTCATAGTTTTTATCTTTTTCTTAAATAAGTCCCTCTAACATTTCATATAATAATGGTTTCATATTGATGAACTCCTTTAGTTTTTTCTTGTCTGGGAAGCTCTTTATTTGCCCTTCGACTCTAAAGACTATCTTTGCTGGGTAGAACAATCTTGCCTGTAGGTCCTTGCTTTTCATGACTTTGAATATTTTTTGTCAATCCCTTTTAGCCTGCAAAGTTTCTTGTGAGAAATCAGCTGTCAGTCTTATAGGAATTCCCCAATAGGTAGTTGCTTTTCTCCTGCTGCGTTTAAGATTCTCTCTTTATCTTTAACTTTTGATGTTTTAATTGTGATGTGTCTTGGAGTGGGCCTCTTTGCATGCATCTTGTTTGGGATTCTCTGTCGCTTCCTGGACTTGCCTGTCTATTTCCTTCACCAAATTAGGGAAGTTTTCTTTCATTATTTTTCAAATAAATTTCTAATTTCTTGCTATTTCTTTTCTTCTGGTACCCCATTCATGCGAATGTTGGAGTACTTGAGGTTGTCCCAGAGACTGCTTATACTAACCTCTTTTTTCTTTTGGTTGTTCTGATTGGTTGGTTTTTGTTCCCTTACGTTCCAAATCATTGATATTTGATTCTCAGCTTCATTCACTGTACTGTTGTTTCACTGTAAATTTTTTTTAAATTTTATTTATTTATCTTTATAGGGGAAGGGAAGGAGAGAGGGAGAGAAACATCAATGTGTGGTTGCCTTTCATGCGTCCCCTGCGGGGAATTGGCCTGCAGGGACCTGGTCTGCAACCCAGGCATGTGCCCTGACTGGGAATCGAACCGAGATTGTCTGGTTCGCAGGCCTGCGCTCAATCCACTGAGCTACACCAGCCAGGGCCTGTAAATTTTTCTTTATTTCAATTAGTGTATCCTTTATTTCTGACTGGATCTTTTTTATGCTGTTGAGGTCCTAAGTTCCTTGAGCATCCTTATAACCAGTGTTTTGAATTCTACATCTGATAGATTGCTTGTATCTATTTTGTTTAGTTCTTTTTTTAGTGTTTTTATTTGTTCTTTCATTTGGGCCATATTTCTTTGTCTCCTTATTTTAGCAACCTTCCTGTGTTTGTTTCTGTGTATTAGGTAGAGCTGCTATGACTCCCTGTTTTGGTAGAGTGGCCTAACGTTAATGTAGTAGGTGTCCTGTAGGGTCCAGTGGCACAGCCTTCCCTATTACCCAAGCTGAATACTTGAAGTGTACCCTTTGTGTGGGCTGAGTACACCCTCCTCTTGTAGTTGAGCCTTGATTGCTGGTAGATCAATGAGAGGGATTTTACCCAGGCTGCAAGGATTGGCTGTTACCACTGACCACCAACCTCTGCTCTCCGTGGAGGATCACCTATGTGGGGGCAGGGTGGTGGTGCTCCAACATGGTCTGCAGCTGTCCACTGGGTGGTGCACAGGCTCTGGGGTTTCCTGGGTGGTTCAAGGCATGATCAGCCCCCACCTGTGTTCTGCCCATGGCCACCGTGCCTGAGCTATAAAGCAATCTGAGATGGCTGCTACTCATGCTGGGTTTGGAGATTCCCAGGCTAAGCC